TCATCTTCCATACCATTGCCCTGAATAGAAGGTGGCCAATGTTGACCGCCCAGGAAGTACTAAGGTTTTTTGAACTGATCATCTTGGCCGATCCTGCGATCATCTAGGACAATTTGATCTAGCAATCAAATCTTAATTACTTTCCCTAATTACCAGACTAATTTAGGCATAATTATGTTTCATCATCTAGGAAGATGTCCTAGATGATGTCTAAAAATAAATAATACCTAAATAGATCTAGCTGCTGATTCTTTATGATTTGAGCCTATCGTCCCGACCAATATGAATATTGTTTAAGACGATGCGCTTAATGACGGCTGCCTTAACCAAGATGCTCTAATTAGGATTTTTATTTTTAACTGATCGTCCAGGCTAATTTATGGATCATCCCAAATGATGTGACCAAAAATAAAGAACTCTATAAATAGTCAAAAAATTTCCCCCATGTGTGTGTGCAATGTTACTTAGCATCAGTAACCACACCATTTACAATATACTCAAATAAGGAAAAAGTTTATGAACAGACTCTAACCTAGTCTACCTAATCTTGAGCTGGTTCAAATTACAGTTTGATCTTGTGGACCTGAAATGTTAGTAGGCAAGGCAATCGTAGAGAAATAAAAATGCTAGCTTTCATCAAAATTATATTCCCTAAAAATAGATTCACAATAATTTTGCCGCCAAATGGCAGCATGAAATACCGATTATGGCCAAAGCCAATACATTCTGTAGTGGCATCAAACCCTTGAGATATGAATCAATAGGATATGATCGATAGGGCACAAACCCCTCCGTTAACTAAGGTGGATTCAAATTTGTTCCTTTAGACAAACATTTACTCCAAGTCTATAAGGTACCCTTGGACGAAGCAATCCATGGCTGCCGACAAGTATCCTTCTGTTAGGTTGGGTCGAATACCTCCTCTGATTAAGTAGATAAGGGACCATGATGTTCCGGGATGGTGGAACCATGGGATCCTGATCGGGTCTATCATCTATTCCCCCACCATCCGCTTTAAATGCAAGATGGTGCAATTTATAATTTTAAATATCAAAGTTTTTACCAAATTTCCTTATTTCAAACCCATGCTGCTACTATATGCCAGATAATATGTATTTCTACGTATTTGATTGATGACTAGCCTTAATTCAAAGTTCTCTCTCATTACTGGGAGGGGTAATTATCTATATGGGCATGTGCCTATAGGAAACAAGAACTCAGATCATAATGTCCTCGCAAAATGAGGGTGAAATCTCTGGGTAGTCTCTTATCTACAAGCCCATCTTCCTTTCAAAATTTACCACTGAACTTTATTTGTTAAAACTCCACCCAAAAAATAAAAAACATCAGCAGGCGGAAGCCAGGGCCAAATTTTTGGAGCCCACACGTATTATCATTATAAGTAATGATATTTGGAATTAGATAAGGATTATCAATAGGAATATGATCAAAATTTTTATCAAAACAATTTAAATTGCTCCATCACAAAGTTAGCAATAGCCCCAACATCCTCAATTTGGGAACCTTCATGAAGAGAAATCTTATGAATGAAGTTTATATTTACATTCTTCTTCACCCGGGCATGAAAGTACTTGGTTTTATTATATCCTTCAATAAGGTGTCTGGAAGCACCTTTTTGTTTCAAAAATCTTCCTCCTGCTCTTGTAAATTTAAAAGGAAATTTTTAGCATCTTGAAGATTTAAAAAGTTATTGTTAGAAGGTTAAAGTTGACAATTATACTCAAAAGAATTAACATTATGCATAGTAGATAAAATATTTGAAAAAATAATTTTAAACACATTCTTATAGCACTAGTTAATCTTATACTTTAATCTTTTGAGTTTAAACTGTAGCCTATTTATACCCAAAATAGAGCATCAGGATGGAGAAGAGCTTGCCAATTTTCTTTGATCATGTTGAGAAAAGAATTGTCAAGTAACCACATACTCTAAAATCTAAAATTGGGACTCAGACCATCCTGCCTCATTGAGATACGAATAAGAATAGGAGAGTGGTCATAAAAGGTTCTACTAATATGCTCAACAAAAGTATTATTATAGGAATTAATCCAAGCATCGTTAAAGAGAATATGGTTCAAATGTTGCCACAAGTTAGCACGATTCCAGGTGAAAGAGTTACCAATATAGCCAATGTCAACTAAATTACAATCCATAATGAATTATTAAAATCCTCTATAGATTTATAAATAGGGTTAGAACCATAAAGTCTTTCAGTAAGATTAGAGAATGTGTTGAAATCACCCCCCCCCACAAGCCAAGGAGAGTTAATTAAATAATTAAAATTAGAAAGTTGGTCCCAAAGATTTTTTTTTTTTTTTTGTAAGAATTCTAGTAGAAGCGGAATACACAAAAGAAGCATAACATTTAAACTGCCATATTTAAATACTACATTCAATGACATGAGAAAAATCATCCACAACCTGAATAGTTGCAGGATCTTTCCAAAGGATCCAAATTTTATTAGACAAATTAGAAATAACATGATTGAAAGTGAAAAACCACATAGTGGAATCCAACTTAGTAGGAGAAATAAAAGTTTTGAGCACAACCAAAATATAAACTTTATGAATACGACATAAATTCTTAACTCTAATTCTAGTACATGAACAACTAATTCTTGTAGCATTCCAAATAATAGACTTAAAAATTAAAATGTAAATTACCAGTTTATGACCGTGTACTTCTAGGTACTTGAGAAATGATATTTTTTTTCTTAGTCCTCCTACTCTGAACTTTAAGAAAATCATTATCATTAGCCATCGAATAGTAATTATAACTCCCTATGTTATTATTATTAAGACCATTTGGTGAGATGAGAGTAGAATCCTTACTACCATTGTCGAATTCATTTTCAATAGTGATAGCACCTTCATCCATATCATCCTGAAGCAATTCTCCTTCTTCCGAAGCACCCTAAGCCACATTATCTTTAACATTTAATTTGGAATGAGGTGAGTCATGATTCACAAATTCACTATTGTTCATAATTAAATCAAAATAAGAAAGGTTTTGGTTAGTATCATAGGGCAATTACAAAGTAGACAAAATTGCATTGTGCTCAGAATAAATAGCTGCCATTTGCTCATCAATATTTTCAATGTCATTGGCAATAATGGAAGAAGGTTGAGCACTATTCATCCCTACCTTAGAAGCTGAAGGTTTAAATGCTTCTATAATACATTTAAGTTTGTCAACATGTTCCAAGTCTGTTGAGTCTCCAAGACCATTCATAGTAGTTTGTTAATCCCGTGGAACTTGATAAGCTTGAGGGTTCTTTTTAATTGGAATATTAGTTTCTTGCATAGAATCACTATTTGAAGGAGGTAAAGATTTAGCACCCTTTTTTTTCCCTTAGGTTCTTTGGATAAATCTTTTTTCATACGAAGTTGAGGATGCAACATAAAGTATTATGAAATACAATGATCATGCATTTTACAATGGTTGCGAAAAATAGGAAGATTTTCAAATTCAACTTTTTGTAGATAGCCACTATGCTCCAGTCCAAGCCATATATCTTTGGGATATTTTCTTGAAATATCCAATTCAACTAAAATGCGAGCCACAGGCAGATGAGACACAAATGCAGTTTCCTCATCCATTTGCAAAGGTTTACCATAAACTTTATCAAGTAAATTAAGTAAATTCAAGTCAGTTATGGATAATTATGATGATATACAAAGGGATTTCTTACATTGTTTTCATCTAAAATGGGGTGGAAAGTAAGTGGATTTGCAAGGGTGGCAAGAATTTCCTACCGATCAAAAATTCCCTTCCAAGCTTCATGATAAACTAGTTGCAGAATTTACTATCGTAGTTCTTCATGATATCATAAAGCAGATGGATAACAATATAGCTCTAATATTTGATGGTATTACATCTTATTTTTAAAATTCTATTAGGTGATAGTGAAAAATGAGTTATGGAATGTTATTAATGTTTTTTTCTGTTGTGATGCCACATGAATGGAAAGAGCATTGATTTTTATTGTACCAAAATTAAAAATGTTTCATATTCTTCAAAATTTCATCCTATTAGTCTTTGTCAAACAATTTTTAAATTGACCACTAAGTTGATTGTCAATAGAATTGAAAATGTTCTTCCATTTCTTATTTATGATGAGCAGGCAGCCTTTATTTCAAATAAATCTATTTCTAATCACTACTTATTAGCCCAAGACGTTTTTAACAAATTCAAATATTCAAATGCTAAATCAAGTTATGTAGCTCTTAAAATTGATATGAAGCGAGAATATGATTCTATACATTGGCCATTTCTCAATGAGGTAATGATTATGATGGGTTTTACAAAGTGTATCAAACCCAAGATTTTCTTTTCAGATTAATGGGAAGAGGTCGGAATGGATTGAAGCTAAATGTGAATATTACTAGGGATGTCCTTTATCCTCGTACCTTCTAATTCTTTGCTTTAACCTTGGTATTCAAATTTCTCTTACAAGTAATAAAATTTCTCATTTGTTATATGTTGATGACATTATAATTTTTGTTGAAATTAATGGAGTGGATATTATTCATATTTTAAGAATATTAACTAATTACAGTAGATGGACATGATTAAATATTAATAAAAATAAGTCAGAATCATATGTGGAAAATTGCTTTGTGGATGGAAACAAAGGAGATTGTAAACTATCTGGATTCTGATTGGTTAAAGAGTTGGAATATCTTTGTATTAAAAGAGCATTGAGAAAATGTACTTTAGCTGACTATAATGAAGTCATTAGTAGAGTTTAAAACAAGCTTAATGTATGAGGTAAAAGAAATCTCTCACTGCTAATAAATAAGGCTTTCCCAACACTTCTTCTAACCAAAAGCAGCGGTTTAAACACCTGCAAAATTATTCACAGCGGTTTAAAATCTGCTGCATACCCGCCGCATATGTTCGCTGGTAAGGCTTTAGCAGCGCTTTTTAGTAGGTGTTAAAACCACTACTAAAAGGTAAGACTGATTAAAAAAATAAAATGAAAAAAATTTAATTTTCTGATTAAATAATACATAAGTAATGTCAAATGGATACTTCAATATAATTGTAACAACGATAAGGAAGTGCAATAGAGGCAGCTACAACTTATACCAAATCTTATCAATATATTATGATCATCAAGCATTGAAGCTTATTAAATGTTCCAATACAAAAATTCCTTCTTCCTTGGACTCCTTCAGGGTGACTTATAACCTGGCCGAAATGGAGTATTTTGTCTCATGGTGTAATGATATGGTTTCGAGTGTTTACTTTCAGAGAGGTGCAGCCACTTAAGCCATGATAAGTTCAAATTCATCTCTGAGCATCTGCAGCACCTTCCTTCTAGCAATTGTAAATTGGGAACCGCACGAATGCATGCCCTCTAGTCATAAACTGCCAAAGCAAAGTATTCATGTAATATATTAGCGATTGAAGGTAGCTGCATGATAAAAAAAGAGAAAAAAAAAAGGAAAAAGGTGAAGTCAGTTGCATCTACAAAATTTTGCTGCAGCTCCAGGTAAATCACAGCCATAGCAAATGAGTCCGTGGGTAATGCTAGCTTAATAGATTCTAACTTACTCAGTCTAATAATGCTTAAAAAAGGATGGCTAAGTAAGTTTAAATCATTCCACCATTGAACTGTGTTGAGTAAGAAAACATCCTAATCAATTATACTTCAAAACCGAATCATTAGCTATTCTAAATAAGCTGAGTAAGTTTAGTATTGAAACTTCTTATTGAGTTGGTGCTCTTACTGCAAAAATGCGGACCAGTGTCAATATATAATGCCAAGATTACCACAAAAGATATAAACTTAATTCCATGAATGGTATCAATCATGCATTCCCCGATGATGTCAACAACAGTTGATGCCATAAACTAAAATGGAATTTTATAGTAAGATGTGCAAGGAGAGGAATAGGGCTATGAAAAGCAATTATGATATTTATTGCTGGCCAGGAATATGGCCGCGGCAATCCTTAGGCTTCTCAGCGTAAAGAAAGACAACTTGAAGTCTTGAACCATACTGCTCCTTAGAACCAAGCTAGAGAAGGTAGCTCACGAACAGCAACAAAGGGTGATTATCTAGCAATCTTAAAATGCAAGACCCTATTATTCAAATAGAAATAAGGGATTTCATATTGTCACATATAATATTGAACAGTTAAAACTTTACAAAGCCACCACAGTATGTTTGATTAGGTATAAAGAACATACAAATTAGCAGAAAATTTTAGTGAGGATGAATAAAGATTTTAATCAATTCAAAACATTAGAATACTGTTATCAAATTATTTAAGAAGTCATAACGAAACTGATATACCCATCATATATTCATATCATACAACATTCTGATATTAGTTAAGGTTTGATTGCCACCATTACTACATACACAAGCCTCACAAGCATATCAAGATACCATAAGCATGCACAAAATGCAAGGCATACATCATTTTCTACACAATAAATTGCGAGTAACAACGATCTTTACCAGAAAGAATAATGGCTTGAGCAACTCGCTGTTCATATCATATGCCCAGAAAATAAAGCTTATACACATACTAAAATGGATCTCTCTTATCAAACCATAGAAATAAGAATGTTATCTATTGAAAACAAAGCATTAAGCACATGATATCCTCACAAGAAAATTACCTGCCCAAAATTGTGGCACACCGCATAGCATAATGTATAATATAACTCCAACACTCCAAACATAAATTTCTTGTCCATAATTACGCCTCAGAACCTCCGGTGTCATGTAATAAGGACTTCCAACAATCTTGGTAAATTGTTCACCTATTCATTAATCAGAAGAAAATAAATCAGAAAAGGGAAAAAATATCACTTTTCACCATGATGCCTAGCTCTCAATGCACCAGCACAATATGCATAAACACTGTATCATGTTCGAATTCATGGTAAAATTAGCAGAAAAAAAAAAACTCGATAAAACAAAGCACAACCTAGAGTATTCCTTATTAATTCTGAGTTCTTCTCTTCCGCCAAACGAAAAAGCCAACAAACTGATCAATCTAGACAAAAGAAATCTGCTCCCTTTAATCTCAAACTTCAATCATCATCTATCCATGGATTAATCACTTCCCCCAATTAACCCTATTAAACCCTAGAAACTAAACTTATCAGAAACTGGAACAAAAAAAAAAATCTAGAAATAGGAACCACCTTCACCGGCGGCGTCGACTTCTCCCTATCTTCCTCTATATGCACAACATATTTACAAATTTAGCCGAAGAAATTCGTGGAAGGAAGGAAAAATGGCAACCTTCGCGGCGAGTTAGCATCTGTCGCGGTGGTTGCTTCCGCTCAAACAGAAAATGCCGAGGAAGGAGTCTGGCTAGGGCTTGAGGAGGCGGGATTTCGTATCCGACGGGAAGGCACGTCGTCGAAGGAGGCGAAGAAGCTTTTTGGCTACTCGTTCTAAACTCCACCCATTACACGAAGGCGGTGAAAGGCAAAAGGGCTGCAAGCGAACCAAACGTTCTACGAGCTACTCGTTGTTCTGTTCGATTAAAGCTCGTTTGTGATTGTTTAATTAACTAAACAAACAAACTTGAACAGTATTTTAAATACTCGATTCTTAAATAAACAAACTTGAAAACTAATGTGTTCGACTCATTTATGTTTGCGAACAACATCATTTGAAGTTCGTGAACAAGCTCGACATTAAGCTCGATTCGTGTTCGATTTTGAACTCGTGAATAAGCTCGATACAAATAATTAATATTTGCATACAGACTTAATAAATATAAATAATCATTGCCTTTGTTACATAGACAATTGCTTTTATTATAAATGTGTTTGTTCATAAATATGTTCATGAACGCGTTTGTTTGATAGTTAGAAAAAAATTGTTAAATATGTTCGCGAACGAACATGAACTGAACATGAACCGAACATGAACACTTATTAATTTAAATGAACCAAACATGAACACAAACAATAAAGCTCGAACAAACATGAACCAAACTTGAACAAGATAATATTAAATGAACACAAATATGAACACTCACATAGTCGGCTTGGCTCGGTTCGTTTGCAGCCCTAGGCAAAAGAGCAGTGGAGAGGAGCTAGAGAGGAAGAGTCGGAAAATTTGAACTTGTTTTATGTGAATTTAGGTTAAAACCAGTGTATGCTTCTACTAAAACATTAATTTTTTAGTAGTGTCTCTCTTGCTAAAATACTTTAATTAAATCATCCTTTTTATCTTGGCCAAATTTTATTTTGCTCACTCGCTGATTCCAGAAGGTTTTTTGTAAGAACTAGATAGATAAAATGTGTCATCAATTCTTATGGCATAAGAATCATGGGAAGCAAGGGATCTACTAAGTTTTTGGGAGGTACTTTGTCGTCCAAAGTCTATGGGAGGATTGGGTTTTCTTGCAGATAGCACATCAATAGGCCCTTTAATAGCGAGATTTTCTTGACAATTCATTCAATAGCCCAATTATCTTTTAAATAGGAATCTTAGAGCTAAATATGTAACTATTTTTAAAAATACAAATATTAATATAAACACTTCTAATGTTTGGCGCATTATGTGGGATGGAGCCAAATTTTTGTTTCCTTTGTTATGATGGAGAATTTCCTATGGATAAAAGATAAATGTTTTGAAATATCTATGGATTCTGGATAAGAAGATGGATAGTTGGCTGTCGATGTTCGATCATACTAGTCTTCATGATTTAACTGTTTCAAATCTATTGAATGAAGAAGGTCAGTGGAATGATGCAGTTCTGAAACAATTTTTTGGGCCTAATTTAATACAGCAAATTGTTGACCTCAACAGCTAACACAAAAAAAAAAAAGAGTAAAATAAAAAAATCATCAAAATGATTACCTGTTAAGCCCATCCCGATCTCCTACGCAAAATCTTCTGAACAGGCCGCCTCTACAGTACTCCGCAGTTCTGCGATTTGGCACCGTTTTAGAGTTGCCGCCCATTCCCTCGTGCGTTAACGCTATTAAAGGGAGAACAGACGGAGCCCTCAACCTCTCTCCACGCTCGACTCCATACACGACCCAAAGCCTCTGCTCTCTGCTTCTCTACGTTAAAGCTGCGATCCCAACTCCTACTTCTCCGATCCACTTCGACGCCTCATCCGACCAATTCTCGTCCCCTCCTATATCCATATAGTCACAAGCCGAGAGAGAGAGAGAGAGAGAGAGAGATGAGAGATCAACCTACCTGAAGCTTTCCTCTCCTTCTTTTGCCGACGCCTTCGGCGGCCTCCCCTTTCTCTCGGTTCCGAAGTCACAACATTCTGATCGGGAGTGACAACAGGAGCCGGCAAGCTTTTTTTTTTTTTTTTTTTTTTTTTTTTTTTTTTTTTTTTTTTGAGAAGAGCATAAAGCAGATTCTATAAAATGAAAAAGCAAGGAATTGTAAAAAAGTTCCTAACGAATACAGTCATCACATTGGCGAGGCTAAACACATGGTGGAAGCAAAGAGCCAAAGTAAGGTGGATGGAAGAAGGAGTGCAATTCAACTTTTTTTCTTGACTTTGCCAATGCTCGTCGAAGTTCCAATTGGATTCATCACATCAAGATGGTAGATGGAGTTATTACAGAGGATGAAGCAGAAATTCAAAAAACTTTTATTGATTTTTTGAAGGCTAAATGGCAACATAGGAATTACAATTTAAGTGGGTGGTCGAAACCTGCTACAGTCATTAGTGAGGTTGATAGATCTTCTCTAGAAGCCGATTTTACAAAAGAAGAGCTGCAGCTGGTTGTGGAGCAATCGGAGAGGAAATTTTCCCCAGGGCAAGATGGAATTACGTTCTCATTTATAAAAGACTTTTGGAGCGTGGTCAAGGAAGACGTGTGGAATGCGGCAGTTCACTTCTTCAAGTCAGGGTTGATGGACAAATCCTGGAAAGAAACTTTAATTGCCTTAATTCCAAAGATCAAAAGTCCTCAAGAACCTACTAATTTCAGACCTATTAGTCTTTGTATGACTATTTACAAAATAGTTGCTAAAGTGCTCTCTAATAGATTGGAGAAAGTTATTCACAAGATAGTCTCGGTGGATCAGGAGGCTTTTGTCAGAGGACGTTCACTGTCAGATCATGTTGCATCATTAGTGGGCAAAGCTTCATTTAGTACTCTCCACCAGAAATTATCACTTCTGCCACAAAGTTTTATATTCTTCAGCCACTTCCAATCTGCCTTGTCAATTGGTTTAACTACATTTCTATCAGCAACCATTGTAGTAATTGATCTCCCGATTCCATGTGAATGAATTCCACTTGGTCTTCAATCAGATCCGAATTAATATTAATCATGCAGATTAATTCCATCAAATCCTTGCCGAAATACTTTCTCAATTCTGGAATACACCAATGGTTGCCTGAAATAAACTTGTCCAATCTCAAATCATCAGCCAAATCTTCTTGGGAGTTCACATATGTAGGCCATTTGTTCAAGCTTTTGTCCCATATCCATACATCTTCAAAGACATCAATAGAGTGACCATTTGAAACCTTCCATCTCACTATACTTCTCAAGGATCTTCCTCCATCTTTGATTATTTTCCACGCTGCAGAATTTGATTTAATTTTGTTTTCAGACTCCCAACAAGAGCCATACTTTGGGAACAAAAATTTATGTAATAAGGAGTCATCATCTTTTATGTACTTCCAAGCAAGTTTAGCTCTAAGAGGGCCCATTTTTTTTAATAAAGAATGTATACCTCTGCCACCTAGATCCACAAGATCACACAACTTCTTCCAGCTAACATAGTGCAAACCGTGAACTTCATTAGATTTATCCCAAATGAAATTTCTACATAATTTCTCCACCTCTTGAACAATAGACTTGGGAACTAAGGAAGCAGTAGAGTGAAATAAAGGAATAGAAAGAATCACATGTTTAACCAATGTAATTCTTCCTGCTAATGAAATGTATTTGATTCCCCAATTATTCAGTTTCTTCAAAATTTTTTCCAATATGAATTGGAAATCAGTCTTAGACAACCTCTTTAAAGCCAATTTAGTTCCCAAGTAATTGAATTCCTTAACTTCTTCAAACCCCAAGATGTCTTTAATTTTTCTTTTCTTCATATTAGATACCGCTTTCCCAAAAAGCATGCCAGATTTACTGATATTCACCATTTGACGTGTCCATCACAGTATTTATTCACTATACCTTTAATGGATTTCACATTCTTGATTTTAGCTTCAACAAAGAAGATAACGTCATCGGCATATAGTAAGTGTGAAATCCTTGTGCCTTTATTGCTAACCAGAACTCCAAATTCATCCTTTCCTTTAATAGCATTGGAAAGAAGCTGAGAACATAAAATGAAAAGGTAAGGAGACAAGGGACACCCTTGTCTAAATCCGCATCTGGCTTTAATCCAATTGGAGGGAGATCCATTAATTAAAATAGAGAAATCAGGCTCCTGCACACATTCTAGAATAAGCTTTGAGAAGAATTCAGGAAAACCAAAATAAGAAAGAATTTTTTGAAGAGTTGCCCATCCCATAGAATCGTATGCTTGTTCCATGTCTAATTTGATAGACACCAACCCTTTGGAATCTTTAGAGAATCTGAACTTATGAATATGCTAATGAGCAATTAAAATATGATCTTGAAGAGATCTCCCTCTAATGAAGGCAGCTTGTTCAGGAGATATAAGCTTCAGAACAATGTCTTTCATTCTATTAAGAAGAATTTTGGAAGCTATTTTGTACACTGTATTACATAAACTAATAGGCCATAGTTATTAGCATAAGTTGGATTTATAACTTTAGGAATCAGAATAATCAAAGTCTTTTTTCAATCCTTATTCATAGAAGCGGTTTCAAAAAATTCTTTCATAGCTTCCCAAACATCAGTTTTAATTATAGGCCAATAGCTTTTAATAAACGAGTAAGAAATATCGTCGATACCAGGAGAAGAACAACCCTTGATGTCTCTGATAGCAATTTCAACTTCTTCTAAACTGAAATCTTTGTTTAAAAGTTCATTATCTACCTCGTCCAGAACAGTGTTAGATTCTGGCCAACCTTCAAGAGTGCTCCTTCTATCACACCATTAGTCTTTGAAGAATTTAACCAAAATGCCTTCAATTTGGTCCTGATTATCCACCATAGTCCCGTCAACATCCTTGATGCTATGAATATGATTACTGTTTCTTCTTGCACTGGCCATTGTGTGAAAAAATTTTGTATTTTGGTCTCCTTGTTCAATCCATCTAACTTTGGATCTTTGTCTCCACCAAGAGTTTAGTCGGGCCAAAGTAGAATTGAGTTCATTAATTTTAAATTTCATAAGAGAATAATCATCCATAGAAAGCATACCATATTCTGATTCTTTGATTTGAAGCAAAAGAATTTCTTCCTTAAGCAATTCCTTCATTTGATTTAGCTCTTTGTGCATAGCCTTATTCCAAAAGAATAAGGAGTTGAGTGTCCTCTTGAACTTGTAATTAAGAATTTCTGCTGGTTTACCTGAATCTCTTCTCCTCCAAGCCTTTTCCACAACCGTAAAAGCTGCTGGATAGGAAGCCCACACTTTCTCGAATTTTAAGGTTCTTTTAATCTTATTAGGAACAATAGAGAAATCCAAGAGAACTGGACAGTGGTCAGATGCAATTCTGGGAAGATGTTTAACAAACATCTGATTATTCCAGTTAATGGTTGTAGCATAGACCAAAATACGATCTAATCTTTCCATAATACGTTCATATCCTTTTTTATTATTACTCCATGTCATTCTAGGACTAGTGAACTTGAGCTCATGGAGATCATTGGAAGACATAAAGTAATTCATCTCTCTTGGACCCAAAGAGAAGGTGAATTTTCTACCTCCAATCTTATCTTCTTTAGCCAAAATGCAGTTATAATCTCCAACTATCACCAAAGACAAATCTTTGGTGATATGGTTCTCCAAGCCATTCCAGACAAATCTTTGGTGATATGTGTTGCAATTCTCCATATCCCTTTATTATGGATATCCAAATCACCTATGATGTATTGAGATGAAGACTCAATTATGTTAAAATTTGCTTGATCACTTCTCCATTGGACAAGAATGCCTCCTGATAATCCTGAAGACGGAACAAAACTGAAATTCCAACCTCTGCCAATCAGAGATTCTACTTCCTTATTCTCAATAGAAACCAATTTAGTTTCCAAAATCCCCACAAACATAACATTATGATTTTTTACTACCTCCTTGAGGTAGAGAGAAGCATTCTTTTTCTTGGCACCTCTACAATTTCAAAAAGGGAAGGAATTCATTTTTGGATCAGAGGGGACAGAACTCCCCCTTTCACCTTGGTATCTTCTTAATTATTCCGGGTCCTTAACTTAAGGCTGATTGGTCCCAAACTCCTAAGCTGCTTAATACCTTTCTTCTTCACTGAAGAAGATAAAACTTTGCAATCTTTAGTTGCTGCTTCAAAAGCTTCTGACTGAATGTTACCCCGATCTTTTGGTTGTAATGCTTCCTCGTATATTTCACCTTCCTCTATCATTTCTCCCAGAATATCGAAACTGTTAACTGAGTTTGTAATTTTGCCATAAGACATCACTCCTGAAATGGTACCCACTACGGCTGAACATATTTCAACATTATTATTGGAATTATTAACAACCTTTTCATCTTTCTGATTCAAGATAAAAGAATCATGAGGATTTTGTTTGTTCAAATTATTCCCAGAAGATTCCATTAATGAACTGCTTGTAATAGCAACTCCAACTACTTCAAATGCTCTCCCCTCAGAACTGGTATTTGCCTTTGTTAAAACCTTGCCCCCAGGTGCTTTCTTATGGAACTTCTTAGCTTTGTAATCTACATGAATCCAAGGACCATAGCCATCTTCTATGCCTTTATCAACAGTTTCCTGATTTTCAGAATCCCTGCTAGTATTTTCATTCCCTATTTTGCCTTTATCAGTTTGAATTGCAGGGCCTGTAATAGCTTCTTTTGAATTAAAATTTTTCAAACACTCCTTCAAGTGGCCAAGTTTGCCGCAGTTGAAACAGAAAGTTGGAAGCCTTTCATACTCAATGCTTTGATAAAATTTGCCAAGTTCTCCTTCAACCCATACACCCATAGGAAGCTTCTCATCGAGTTTGATCCTGACACAAACTCTAGCGAACTCCCTTCTAGACCACTGGAACATATTGCCATCTATCAAATAAGAAACCCCTATCATTGAAGCAATTCTGCAAACATTCACTTCATCCCAGCATTGAAGAGGTAGATTTGGCATACGGATCCAAATAGGAGCAGTGAGACCTTTAAGTGAAGTAGGAGAAAAACTCGCTGACCACCTGTCCATACACACTATGTTTCCATTAACATACCAGGGACCTGATGTAGTAATTTCTTCC